TCCACTATACTGTCCCATAAATTAAACCAAATAGTAGTAAGAGGAATCAAAACCATTAGAAAAGTCTAGATATTCATGCCAACACAAATCATTAAACCTAATACATAATCCATATTCTACTTAAATGGAAGGAACTATTAAAAAATTCCTATAATTTGTCGGCAATGGACCGGAGATTCATCGTCACTCTAGGGTTGCTTCATTCTTCCATGTTTGAACAACAAGTACGAAAATCTTAGCCGCTTACTACCAACGTCAAAGGTATCAACCTCAAAAGGGCTCTTCAGAAACGAAATACTCTGCAAAAGCAGCAATAAAGACGTCACTGTCACTGCCAATTATTAAACAAACAAGGCCATATTTTTCCAAAATTCAGTTACTGTTCTAGACTTCTCGTGATTAAAACATACACCACCAGAAAATGCTTGTCATACAAACTTTAACTTGCAGTCCGAGCCAATTGGTACACTGTCTGACATATATAACAAGTTTATTTTATACCATATTTGTAAGAAAAATAAACATACAAATTACCTAATACATTATGCATATTGACAAATGACATCATTTTTATACTAAATAAACTTCAAATATACATGAACGGGTGGGTACACAGACAACAATAATCAACATAAAAAAAAATACTTCAAATATACATGAACTGGTGCAAAGACATTAATACATTTGGCATATTGACGAGAGGTATTTTTGTTTACAGCAAAATGATTTCATATATGAAGGTAAGACTTGGCACTGGGGATGGAAAGGAAAATTGTTGTTGAATATGAGAGTGTTGGGATTGCTAAGTCAAAAACCAAATCAATTTCATTTGCACAATGAATATTCCCAACAAATCACTTTTTTGCTTAGTCAGAAGCTATAAAAATAAAAAAACATATGTGGACTGCAATGCAAGATATGGGAGAGAATAAAATATGCACATATAAATATCCACTGGGCATATTTATATAAGCTTGTGCGTGATATAAGATGCTTTACAAAGGTTACAAGGTGTTATATGTTCAATTGCTAGGATAACTTATGATTCAAAAACGTGTTAATGATGATAGTTTTATAAATAAAAGATTAAAGAAGATTTTTAAAAAAAAAACAGATCTCATTAGAGACAAAATAGTTCAAATTGGTTTATCTTCTAAAACAATTGAGAGAAACGCATCTTTTGATCAGCTAACCGAGGCTAGAGCCAAAACATTTGGTCACGCCCCTTTTTAATCAACTAACTGAGGGTAAAGCAAAGGGTAATTACTTCAATTTGTGAACATAAACAAGCTCTGATTTCTCTTTTACCTTCAGTGGATTCCTCAACTTCTAATAATTCCATATGCAAAAGGAAAACAAAAATGAAAAAACACACACACGTATTTCATCAGACATCTGGCCCTTTGTGATATCAAGAAAAACAAAGAGCAATTGATGTTCTATTTTAATTATTTTGTTTTGTTACCGACTTACCTGGGTCAATGTTACTGGAATGAGGAGGCTGCTAAAGAATTGCGCGGTCAATTTCCGATGAAACGGACGCGAATCCGGCGACTTAAAACAACATCACCAACCCACGTTATCTTTAGCGGTATCATAGCGAATTTGATGATGAAAGTATTCGATCCAAACAACATCAATGCGATCGAGATCCCAGTGAAAAGCAAGCCGAAGGCCGCTGGAGAAAACTGGGGCGACAGCGGTGGCGGAGAGGAGGAAGACGGCTACGATGACAACAGAGAGAAGTCGGGGAACGAGATCAGCAGCGGTGGCATGTGGAGGGCGTGGATGGCCATCGCGAAGTCCTCATCTTTCCCCCTTTTGACGAATTAAAAGCACTTGGCCTTTTGTGTTTCATCGTTCAACTGGAAAGAAAAAGTTGTAATTGGCATTAAAAAATTTATCTCATTATTAAGGAAAAAAATTTACTACGCATCGTCCGCTAGGTGTTTTTTTTATTATTTATATATTTTAAGTTTGTAAGTTGGAAGATATTAGAAATGGGCTGAACCGCAAGCCCAAAAGAATTGACCTGAGAATGATAGAAATAAATGACGCCCCGTATCTCTAATAATAATAAAGACAAATTGAGTCCCTATGTTTCTAATTTTACTCCTTTCCTTTACCAATTTAGAGTTGCGATTTTTTTTTTCAATTATTTATTATTATTAATAGGGTCCACCACCACAGAGACAACTTCATCGAATCTATAATTACCCCCAAATTCCCCATAGCCAACCGCGATCCCCGACGGAGAGCTCGGCCATGGAAACCCGCCACCGCCGTGACAACGTCGCCGCCTACGACTCTCCCACGGACCTTAGACATCGGAAATCCTTGACATAGTAGGCCCGCAACCGGCGAGTCTGTTCGATTTTGTGAGTCCTATTTAATCTAGTAATTGTTTTATTCTATATTTTATTTGGTGAGTTGATTTTGTCATGAAAAATTTTGTTGTTGTGTGTAAAATTTTAGAAACAATCTTTTTTTTTTTTGCTTCATCGATGTTTCTGGATCTGCTTGAATGATTTTCTGAGAAATTGTGAGATGATTATGTCTGAGAAATTGTGAGATAAAAATTGTGAGTCCCTTCTTTTTTCCTTTCTGAATTCCTAAATAAATGCTCTTTTTTATTTTTATTGATAAATCAGTGAGAGTTGTTTCTATGTTTATTGATAATTTCGTAATAATTTTTTTGTTAATTCAAAGTTATTTTATGTTTCTTGGTAGTTTTGTAATGTTGTTTTGTAGTTGCTTCATTGATGTTCATTGTAATAAGCCAGTGCTCGCAAGTACCTTTCTATAGTTGCAACACTTGAAAGATATGTAATCTTCTTACACTATAATCCAAGTACTTTATTTTTTTGCTGAGCTTTTTTTATACTCTCTGTCGATGGTTTTATTGTTCTTTCTTATGGGATGTTTTTGTTTGAATTTAAATAACCGTCAGACAATTTTATTATTTAAATTGGATCAATCTTTTTTATTTTTATTTTTGTTGTTGTTGTTGTTTTTATTCTCAGGTGTTGAAGATTGAAGAAGAAATTGAAAAATAAGTTGAAGAAGAAGAGAGAAGAAAAAACGTGAAAAGAAAATAGAGAGAGAAGGAATAAAGAGAATAAAATGCAGAAGAGAGATAAATCAGTTATTGATTTTAAATTTTAAATTAATTGTTTTGTTTGTAACTTCCTTTTGAGACAATTTTGGAATTCAGTATGTTCTGCTGTTTTAATAGAATTTCTTTTTATTAGGCGGTTAGTTATGTCTTTTGGCCAATGTAGAGAGAACAAAGTAAAGGGCTCGTCCGGTTGAATTGGCTTAAAACGTTGACTCCTCATTAAGATAAAAACATATGAAGCTGATTTGTCGGCGGGATGACGCCATCGTCTTACCCAGTAGCCTCTAGAGCATCTACAATGAAAATTATGTTGTATGACATGGTGAAAGGAAATTTAAAAATTGTGTCTGCAATGGTTAATGTTAATTGTGGTATCATTTGTGATGTGTAAATTGTAATTAGTTGGAGAAGAGAGATAATTTTTTGTGTGCCATGTGGCATGTTGATGCTCGAAAATTGATCAACATGGGGGTTCAGAGGAATTTATCGTATATTTTTCAATATGTATTTTTTGGTGAATTTTGTATGAATAAACTGTGTAAATTGAAAGAAAAATGAAGAAGCTGGTGAGGGAGGAAGAAGATCATCCTCCGCGCCGCCTCCATCCGAGAGAAAAAAGTAATAAGGCCCCCTCAGACCTATTTGTCTGTGTCCATCATCGGGGATATATATATATATATCTATTTAATGGGCCCGATATTATTACAAGCGGTATTATTTTTAGGCCCAAAAAATAAAATAATTTATTTAATATATATCCACGTATAATATTTTATTAGGCGAGGTCAAAATTAAGTATCAACATGGCAATATAATAAAGTAATGGAAAAAACATTGCCGATGCTCTTAAGATGTAGTAGGCATGATTTCACGTTTTAGGTCTGCGAACCAAGGATTGGTTGTGGTGTTATTCTCTGATCAAAAGCCAGGATTACAATCTATACATCTAACTGTTGGTAAAGAATATATGACAATTTATTTTTGTTTTCTCACTCTTTTCCATTGCATTTTTCATTAATCAGGTAGATATATTTTATTTTATTTTATTTTATTTTATATACTTAATAGTAACTAATCATTAAATCACATTAAATAATATTTTATTATAAAACTTTTTTCAAATTATTTATTTAATCTTATTATTTCTTTGTTTTTTCAGTTCATTCTGTAGATATTTTATTATAAAACTTTTTTCAAATTATTTATTTAATCTTATTATTTCTTTGTTTTTTCAGTTCATTCTGTAAGTTTTTTATTAGAATAAGTTAGTTATATTTTATGATATAACCAAATCACTTAGAATTTCGTACACATTTAATATAACGATATTTTCAATATATTTTGTCTAGCTAATTGGTTATAATCAACCAAGATTGAAATATTACAGTATTACAATCATTATAATGATTAATATGTAAATTAAATAGCTTATATTTATATCCTTTATTTTTACCAACGATAAAACTTATAAAGTGTGGTATGTTCATTCTATGATTTTAAATATTACATAGACACACATATAACATAGAATTTTATTTGTATTTTATACATTTGCAGAGGATCGAATACTAGTGCTAATAAATATTATATTACTTTTGATTAACATTAACTTTAATCAGCATATTTTTATTTCATATGTCAATTACAATGTCGAATCTATCTCATTATTTTGTAAATAAATTCCTAACATTCTTTTACCTATTCTTTAAGTAATAAAATAATTCAGTTTTTTTAATACAATTGTTGATAAAAAAATTTATTTTGCTTTTTTGATAGTTTTCACTACAAGAAAATGATAAAATTCCAATGAAAATATATTCTAATAGAATTCCAACGGCAATTCCAATGGATATTTTATATTATTATTTCCGTTGGAATTATTTCAATAGAAATTCCTACAAAAATATTCCGTTGGAATGAGTTTTTCATTGAAATTTCTGTTGGATTTTGACGATTCCAGCAGTAGATTTTCCAACGGTTGTGGAAATAAAAATTCCAACGTAAATTGCATAGTTCAACGGAAATTCCTACGGTGAAAAGTCGTTGAAAATATAGCTGTTGGAAGCATCAAATTCCATCTAAAATTACAATGAAAAATACATTCCAACGGAATATTTTCGTTGGAATTTCCATTAGAATCATTCCAACGGAAGCTATACCATTTGGAATTTCCATTGGAATATATAGGATTTTCCGTTGGATTATAACAATTTTTTTTTGTAGTGTTTATTACATGTACATATAAGTGCTATATTTATAATAGTTTTATTTATGTTAGTATATTTTTTTATATAGATTTCATTCTCTTAATAGATTTCTATTGAGAAATGAAGAGATAAGAAGGAAAAAAGAGATGTTGTAGAAGACTAAAGAAAAAAGAACATAAGAGCATAAAACAAGAGTATCATGGGAACTTTGAAAAAGACGGACGAGCAAGTCACACCCAAGAAGTTTGTGAAATTTTTTTGGAAGACAGTGACTGGATTTGGAGATCAAACAATTATATTTCTCTTGGGAGTACTATTGATTTTTTTATTTGATAGTTTTAATTTGTACTCATTATATAAAATTCAAGCAGGACGAGGTTGTTTATATACTGCGAGTGTTCACACTAGGGGCGGTACCGTAATTAACCAACTCTTTAAGTGTGAACGCAACAAACCAAGTAATTACGGTACCGCCCCTAATGTGAACACTCGCAGTATACAAGTAACCTTGACGAGGTTGTTTATATACTGCGAGTGTTCACACTAGGGGCGGTACCGTAATTAACCAACTCTTTAAGTGTGAACGCAACAAACCAAGTAATTACGGTACCGCCCCTAATGTGAACACTCGCAGTATACAAGTAATATACTGCGAGTGTTCACACTAGGGGCGGTACCGTAATTAACCAACTCTTTAAGTGTGAACGCAACAAACCAAGTAATTACGGTACCGCCCCTAATGTGAACACTCGCAGTATACAAGTAACCTCGTCCTGCTTGAATTATAGTTTCATAGTTTTTTTATATAGTTTCATATTTCTCTTGAGCAAAATAAGGTATCCAAAAATTAATGTTCTTTATTTCTTAAAATAAACTTTTCTTGGCAAAATGTCCATGTTTAATTATCCACGAAACATAAATTATTCTTGAAATTGACTGTTACCTCAAAAAGTTCGTTTGACCACAATACATATACGTTTTTGTACTCAAGTAGTAAATCTTTAATTTTTACATTAGTCTTGTTTCGGTCATCATGATCGAATCTATGTTGCAACACATTTTTTTGACAATGTTTTTCACGAACAGAATTGTGCAAAAAGACTGATATTTGAGCTCTGAAGTTCGAGCACATGTTGAAGACATTATTTCTGAAATTGGCTTCTCATAAAAAATAATAGTAACAATGAAGAACAAGGTTTGGGTTGGAAGTCTTTAACTTTACCCATGAATACTGTTGTAAAAAAATTCATTGCAAGAAGTTTGTTATAAACTTATGTTTGATCACCGGTGAGCAGAAAGATGAATGATTTAGGGGGTGATTGGATATAAATTCAACTAGTAAAAAATTAGTTTTTTTTTAACTATAGTTAAGTTTGAAATACATTTTTTTTATTGGCTTCTCAAGCATTTTTTTTTTTTTTATGTATTTTAATTTTATCTCTTTAAAGTGTAAATTTGATAACCAAAATGTAAGTGGGCATACAATGAGAAGTAAGAACGATGCTTATAGCAGTTTCAAACTTTCAATGCACGAGTTAGCGCTATATTATATGCGCAACACCTATTTAAATCACGGATTGTAGTTTAGGACTTGCACGAAAGGAAGTGGAGCATCATACGTGGGCCAAATTGCACCACTTAATTGAGATGTGTGGTGGTTTGAAATTCAATAAAAGTGAAAAAAAAAAATGTGAAAAAAAGGTTGTGGGTTGAATGACTTTGGATCATTATCAGTTTTTACTTTGGATCATTATCAGAGCAACTTTAGATCATTATTAGAGCAACTTCAACGCTGCGTTGGAGTTGCGTATTAATGTGAAGTAGCGTAAGTTTTGTGCTCCAGTCCCACGCTAGAATCCAATGCTATATCAGATACATGAACAGTGTTGCGCCAGTTCTAGCGCAACACTGTTCACCTGCGCCAGTTTTTTTTTTTTTTTTTATGTAATATTAATGATAAATTTTTATATAATGTGTATTAATAAATGTTCTTTTATACTAAATAACTTTGTGCAA